ACCAACACAGATGAAATTTCATGATAACATATGCGCACGTTGTTCAGGGGATTGATTGCAATTTCTGATAAGGTTCTGTTAGTCTTGAGGTTCTACAAGTCCTGTTGCAGATTCTCTTCCTTCGCTGAAATATTTACGTATGTATTGCAGGAGTTTTCTTTATTGTACCCATTTATTCTGTAAAATTAGTGGCATTTGTCTAGGTCTTTGACACAATGGTATGGCCTTGAGGTCACCAGGACATTACATTTTTTTAAGGATTTTACCTTGAATCAAGTCCACTACATCTGTACTAACTCTGGCTGTCTGACCGAGCTCATCCAGACCGTCTAAAATAAAAATAATTTCTTTCTGATCCTCATCAATGTAAGTCCAGAGCTGGCCAGGGGTCATTTTTGTATCCTTTGGTAGGAGTTGCTCAAATATGGCGTGTTTACCTTTTCCAGGCAAGTGCCGCATTTCAAGAAAAAGAACAGCTTTGGATATTCCCAGACGACCAGTCATGAGTCAGTTTCTGACAAGAGCATGGCTTCCCAATACCTCTACCGTATCTTCCTAATAACAGCTGAAACCTCTACCCGTATATTCCTAATAACAACTGACTTAGACTTAACCCCTTGCGCCTCATTAGTGCCGTTCTTGTAAATATCTGCTAAGCTTACAAAGTGTCTTTGAAGCGCCCTCTGTCGTCCCTGCGCTGTAGTTGCAGGTTGGTGCAGATTTCTCCCACGTCCAGATTTAGGTCTTGGCACCAAGGCAGAGGTCGCACATGTGCATACTGTGTAGGCTAAAGGTCCTTTCGTCCCCAACATCAGTTGGCGTTCCTGAAAGGAAATGTGGTATTAAAAAATGTATCAAAATTATGAACATCTTAAAAGCCATCTCTAGCAGAAATACATTTTCTTAATTATTCATGTACGTTGATTTTAACACCGAGTTACTGCTTTAAGCAAATTACGCTATAGGTATATACGTATACACAGGGCGGCGAGAGGGATACCCAAAGTTTGATAAGGTCCAAAGTTTTGTTTTAAAAATCAATATTAAGTATAAATGCATTGGTGTCTGCACATGATAAGAACAGCAAAATATCAGGTACTAATTATTTCAGTAAATAAATGAAAGGGCGGATTATGTGTCAAACGTTTTATTACCTAGTGTTGACATCAGTTAAAAAATTTTTACGAGTCACTAAAGCCATACTAGGCTGCGTGTGTATAGTCAAGATATAGGGCTAAAATGTATGTCTGTGTCACTTTGATCAGTTATAACCTAGCTGCCGTGTGCACAGTAAAGATATAATTATATAAAATCAAATCAAATCAAATCAAATCAATGAGGCCAAAATATATGTCTGTGTTGCTTTTATGAAAGTTATGTTTTTAATTTATTGAATGGTTTATTTCGCATTTCCCTAACATATGTCACACTTTAGTCCTAAGACTGAATTATGGTGATAGTACATACATACATTACCATAGACAATACATTACTAAAGGTTAAAATTTATGATTACACAACAAATTTATCAAATTTATTGCAATAAAACACACTACAACTACAGTTTATGTACACAGTTTTGTTTCTTGAACCTATGAGCTGAAAGTTTTGAGAGGTAACTATATGTGAGCAACCAGGGAAGCTGCCGTTGTCCGAACCTGGGCTTCAAAATGGCGGATGTGTCTCGTGAATTGTAATTGGATAAATAAAGCTGGGATATAACGTTATATCAGCAGTGCTATTTCATACAATGTGCGGTGACATGAAATGGAAGACTAATTCCATACTGTGTGAATTAAAGTCGAATATTCGTATTATATTGTGTATGATCTTAAGATTTGTATGATCTTAAGATTGCAAAACATAGGATGACCGTGCCAAGGCTAGAAAATGCAACTATTTAGTGCCCACATAACATAACGATTGCCCCAACCAGCTACTTCTTAATATTTTTTTTTGTGCCGATAATTTTACAGCAGAATTAAAAGGGTATACAGAATTTGTTGAAATCTTTTATAAACACTGCACCCTTGCTTATTCCCAGTTTTAACCTTCAACGTTTTAAGGTGAAACGGATTATTTTTTTCCAACCAGCACTCACACGTGGTGCATTAATGGTAGTTCCCTGATTACATCATTCAAAAACATGTGATAAGTGGAGAAATCGACAATCATATGACTTTGTCCTTTAGACTTTGTCGTCTATATTGAACATCCGCTATTTTACGCCGTTGCTTGCTGTCGGTTGCCTTGCTTGCCATAGTACCATTCTACAGCTCAGTAGTTACTGAAATTCAAGCATGGACGAAACGGTCACCATTGTTTTAAAGGATTAAGGTGAGTTACTCACTTTCACTGTTAAGCAAAAATTCGATGAAACAATTCCCAACAGATCTTCCAAAAGCTTTTAGTACTATAAGGGTGGTCACAAGGTTACAGTGCCATTGTGAAATGTATCGGTGTCAAAGTCCGCCACGCCCCTATGCTTGTGTAACATTCCGATTGACAAAACTAGGCCTTTAAAACTATTAAATTAGTAATTTGAAGATGAAATGTCTTGTGCTAAGGAGTATTTTCATTGTAACTAGTGTAAAGCCAACAATGTATCTTTCAAGCAAGTTTGCCCAAGCAACAATCTGACCTAAGCATAATTTATGCAAATTAAAATACGCTTATCTGTCACATTTTTAAATATTGAATGGCTTTTAAATCCAAGACTGAAAGGGAGCAATAACATGAACCTACCTAGGCTAAGTATCTCTAAATAAGAAGTGTGAGCTCTGCTTTATCTAATCTTGCCCGCCATTTTGATTCCAGGTAGAGTTGCCCCCCTCCCCCTCCCGCCCCACCATGTCTGGTCTGTCCGCCCGCGCTAGGCTGTACCAGAACATCAATGACAGCCTCAATGAAGATGACGTCAGGAGTCTAAGAGCCATACTGGTCACAGACAAGCACCTCGGACAGGCGAGGGTAGAAAACGCTACACCTCAAGAAATGTTCAACATGTTAGAAGACGACGGCAAGATTGGCAGGGGAAACCTAGGGCTACTTGCGGACCTCTTGAAAGCCCTTGGCAAGACAAGGTTAGCTCAAGAAGCCGAGGACGTGATAAAGGCCGATGAGGGTAGGTTATAATCTGCAAAAAATTAGCTATTGTCTAGTCTGCGACTATTTTGAAACGTTAGTTATTGATGATGCAATGCCTTACCTTGAGTGGACTTTAAATTGTAAACATGACATGTCACCAGTCCGGCCATTGACTAAAAATAGAAGTGACGAGACATGTTAGACCATTCAAGCCTTACTAATAAAAGTGCGTCACAATTGCTATATTTAAGTTTGAATTTCAGGGTAAATAATTTAAAATTGAAATAATAGAAAATGTTTACAAATTGCATAACAGTGAGCATTCCCTCTAACAACAGCCGAAGTGTAGGTAGAATTTAACCCACAAACACCCGAACGGGGTCCATTTGGACCCAGGCGTATATTTTAATTCTTCCCGTAAACCTCTTCTTCAAGTTCTAAATTTTTTTTCGGAGATCGGCACAAATTTGTAAAAATAACAACGGAAGTCTTATGTAAGACCGTCTGGGGTCCAAACGGACCCCAGTCATATTTTTGCACTTTCCTACACACAAAATTGTTCGGATGTCCTCGATATGTCTTCAATGAAGCATCATTGCTTTAATGATATGCAGTTTGCCAAGTAACCTCAACCTCAGGAATTAGGTAATCAGAGTTTGTTTTCAGACCTTTGACAATCATATGAGGTCAAAGGTAAACCCCATGTTCATGCCTGCAGGCCTCAACCTATTTTTGCATAAATTATAAAGTAATGAGCTGGAATTTTGTACACAGTTTTCATGCCAAAATATACCTCTTATTATGCTTAACCAATATATGTGTAAAGATTACTGAAAGAATGCAGAAAGGAGTATAAATTTGAAATAAACCAAATCCATTTCGACTCCGTTCGGTCATTTCCGTCGCAAAAAAAAAGTTCGGGTGTTTAAGAGTTAATGTAATGTACAGGTATGTAACACACGATTTCTAGGAGTCCGTATTGATGAGAAACTCACATGGAAGTTTCATATTGAACTTATTTGTAAACAAATGTATAAGAATATTGGTATAATAAGAAAAATTGCAAGTTGCCTATCACGTAAAATATTTATCACTCTGTACTATACTTTGATTTATCCCTACTTAACATACAGTAATATAGTCTGGGCTAGTACGAACACTACTTCAATCCGTCCGCTGCATCAGCTACAGAAGCGCTTTGTTAGGATCGCGTCTAATGTTCCATTTTTTGCTAACTCTGCGGCTCTATTTTACAACTTGAAAATTTTAACAGTGTATGACATAAATAAACTCCAAACAGCAATTTTTGTCCATAAAGTTTTACACAAAAGTTCACAATTACCAGTTCAATTTCAGGACATATTTCAATACAACTCAGATATCCACAGTTACAGTACTAGAAAGCAAAATGATTTAAGGCCAATCCTGAAAAAAATCAAATATGAAACAGTTCACGATAATGTTTAGAGGCCCCTTAATTTGGAACAGTTTAAGTCACACACAGCAAAATTGTCAATCCCTTCCAACTTTCAAAAGACATTTAAAAACTGACCTGATAGAGAAGCCAACTACCACTTCCTGATTTGCTTTTGTTTTCCTTGTTTTCATATGCTATGATATTTTCTTTGTGTTAATATTGGTTTCTTATGTTGTTCTTACTCATAATAACTTATGATTTGACTAATGGAAATTTATTTTTTTGTTCAATATGATATGTTCTTGATTGTCTTACTTTATTGTTTAGATATTTAATTCGCCGTGTTAACTTTATATTATCTTGTTCCTATTTTGAGTTAATTTGTTTGCTTGTCCCTTAATTCATTGCAAGTTAAATGTAAATGTAATAAATGTATGTAAATAAGAGATCGTAAAATTAATAGGATTTGGGAGAGTCCACTAGACAAACCTTCGGGTTTCTTGGGCTCTCCAGCATATATTTGCTTGTATATAATTTCATTTTATATTGTTACTTTTTTATGTGCAAATTGACAATAAACAAATAATAATCAAATAAACAATTTACGATGTTCCCAAAAGAATAATAAACATTAGTTGAAGACGTGCTTATTCTATACATTTCAGGAGGAGCAGTCGCTTCGGAGAATACCGTTGCAACTACAAAAGCAACATCAGACAAAAACGCCGACAACGAGGGGAAGGGTGATGCGTTATTAGGTACGTTAACAAACAAAACAACAATTAACCAGACATTCAGGTGCTTCAATAGCGTTATAGGTTAACTAAACCTTTATCTTTTGGAAAAAGATAATGTAGCTTACCCAGATATGAGTTTAACTAATCTTAATGATCCTTGTTTAAGTCTAGGCACTATTTTGGTAGTGCATTGCAGCACATTTTAAATGCCATAGTTGATATACGTGTATTTAAGTATTGATTTTGGCATTCCATTTTTTGAAAATACATAAGTAGCTAATGCTTTTTAGAATAGCACATCAGATGTTTTTCTGGGAGCTCAAGTTTTAAGATAGTAAAAGGATCAGAACGGTTTATATGATTGATATTATAATGTTAATAGGCCAAATAGTCTCTATAAGATCACAAATATCGAGGCCAATATTATACCACTGCTAGACTTTGGTCTATGAAGTACTTAAACCTGCATACATTTGTCCGTTTGGGTGTTCGTTAATGTTCCGCTGTAAATCATTTATTACAGCAACACCAGGCAATGTTGATGACATCATTGTCTGTCTGAAGGACCTGTATGCTACAGAGTATGCACGTGTGCGACCTCTGCCGTGGTGCGAAGACTTCAACATGGACGTGGGAGAAATCTACACCAACCTGCAACTACAGCGTAGGGACGGCAGAGGGCACTTCGAAGACACTGATACCATCGTAAGCTTAGCAGATATTTACAAGACTGTAGATGTTTGTGCTAAGCCAGTTGTTAGGAAGATAAGAGTAGAGGGGCCTCCTGGGATTGCGAAGTCGTGCTCTTGTCGGAGACTGGCCCATGATTGGTCGTCTGGAAAATTGCATTGTTTTAAAGCCGTATTCTTCCTGGAAATGCGGCACTTGTCTGGAAAAGTAAAAGACGCAATATTTGAACAGCTCTTACCAAAGGATATAAAAATGACCACAGACCAGCTCTGGTCTTACATTGAAGAGAATCAGAAAGAGGTTCTCTTTATTCTGGACGGTCTGGATGAGCTCAGTCAGACAGCCAGAGAGAGTACAGATGTAGTAGACTTGATTCAAGGTAAAATCCTCAGAAACTCTCATGTCCTGGTGACCTCCAGACTATACCACTGTGTTGAAGACATTGAGAAATGCCATAGCTTTTACAAAATTGTAGGATACAGCAAAGAGAACTCAGTTGGGTTCATTCGTAAGTACTTCAGCAAGGCGCCTGAATCTGCCACAAAGCTTGTGGAAGCTCTAACAAATAGCAGCAATCTGGGAGAAATCGCACTGAATCCACTTAACAACGTACTCATTTGTGTTGTGTTCGAAGAAAATGGAGACAATCTGCCTTCTGGAAAAGCTGAGCTATATCAAATGATCATACATTCAATTGTTAAGAGATACTGTACAAAGAATGGCATTCCCATCAAAGGCCGCACATTGCCTTCTAACATAGAAGAAGCATTGCGAGGTCTGGGGAAACTGTCCTGGGAGGGGTTACAGCGGGATCAGCTCCAGTTTAACATAGATGATATAAGACAGGAGTTTGGAGGGAGTACAGATGACATGTTAAACATGGGCTTGCTGACAAGAGATTATTCTTTCTCCAGAATCAAACGCATCTGCTACTGCACTTTCCTACACAAAACCTTCCAGGAGTACTTGGCTGCATACTACATCAGCCAGTTAGTCAGAGAGGAAAGTAAACAAGATGAAGGCGTGAGATGTCTTCGCACTTTGTTCGGTGTGGGAAAGACTTCTGATGTTAACAGCCCGATTATAAAGAGCTACGAAAAGTACAGAGAGATTCAAAATATTTTGCCCGTGATGCTGGGTAGACATGCAGACCCACTGTTTGCAATGTTTGCCGACGAACTAATGACACCTGGACTAAAAGGGGAGGAGAGAGATATTTTGTCATTTATCTGTCTTATGTCACTTGGTAGAGCTGGTGAAAATGGCAAACTGGCGGAGATTCTCGCACCTTGTGTGTCTCCGTACATAACTAACGGATTAGGTCGTCATGACCTGTCTAAGAGTGACCATGCTCAGTGGTTTGATGGTTTCTTACAGGTGCTTTCTTCTCAAAAGAATCTCGCAATGAGTCCAAGTTCAAATACAATAGAACACCTTAAGATTAATTGCTTTGACTTACATCATGCTTTGCAACAACGGCAGATTGAAAAGTTAGAAAGAATATTATCCGATTGTCCCACAATGCGTTCTGTGGCACTGCGTGGCAGATCTTTTATTGACACTGACGAAATCAAACAGTTTCTTACATCTGATGGGAAAGAAATCCCCCTAGCTCGCGTATTTATCCCTCGGAACGGAGTACAAAACGTTTCCATTCAGTTTTCAGTTAACAGTAACATGCTGAAAGATCTGTCAAAAGTACCAAGGTTAGAACATGTCGAAATCAACGTAGGGCGGGCTTCTAATGACACAGGCGTCCCAAACTACGACCCGATGTTGGCTGAAATGGTTCGGAAGCAGAGTCGTCTCAAAACCTTACGGGTGTGGATAAGTGGGTGGGGGAGAATGTCAATAAAAACCAGGCAGTGTGGGAGCCTAACAGAAACTCTGCAGAGTATCTCGGAACACAAATCACTAGAGGAGGTGGAGATAAAACACCTGGTCAGGAATGACAGTCCTCGTTTTGGTGGTTCAAGTGATAAATCTGAGACAGTAGATGTCGACACAGTGGTAAAGGCACTCACAGAATGTATAAAGAAAAGCAATGGATTGAAGACACTACAAATTACCTGGGAGTCCTTTTTTGTTACAAGAATTTTCTACAGCGCTGTCTGTAGCAGTCAGTCTCTTTCGAAACTATGTTCAGCGATACAACAGAACAAAACCTTAGAGAGATTGCGGATTCATCATATGTTCTCTGAATCAACGGATCATCAGAAGATAATCGACCAGCTGATGCGTAATAAACCTGAGAATCTGAAGGAGCTTGTTGTAACTATGTTCAAACGTAACGTTGTCAGGTCTCATTGTTTTACGCCGTAGACCTCAAAACTACACCAAAAAGTGAGGGTAGCAAAATGGACAAATCTTGACCACCATTCATTAAAATCATGATGTCGTCGACGGTCGCTGTGGTAGTGATACTATACATAGCGAGCAAATTAGTAAGCAAAGAAGAATCGTATAGTTATGGTTAAATCAATTCTGAGTAGTACGTCCTGCGTGACTACCGAATAGGTACCCAAGTTCATTTTTGGAAAGTTAACCCATCAATTTTTTTTAAGCTGCAATGGTAATGACATTGTCAAAATGCATTGTGTTCTCTATAGGGAAATAATGACCATGTGCAAATATTTGATAACCTCAAAAATGTTAAGGCACGTTTGTTAATCAAAATCATTTTAGATAAGAGCACGGCTTCATGTGTAACTTGCAGCTTTTGCATCTTCAATGCATTATAAAGCACCTCTTTTTTTACGTTTTATCATATTATCAGGATTATTTTGATATTCTATGTGAATAATAGCTGCATTGCTAAAGGTTACTGTGGTCATAATGCCTCCTTGTATAATTTCATTATAGATTTAAAAGTATATGGCACTAATCATCGAAAAAGTGTAGACACAAACATGTAAATGAAAAAAGATGAAAAGAGAGTATTATTTCATTTTTGCGTTGTATGTATTGCTACTTAAGGTACATTTGTATTCGTCCGGTTCATGCAGATTTTATTAATATCAATGACAATAAAGAAATTATACTTTCTTATAAACTGTACTATGGCGTCAGCGCTGTTAATTCAATTCTAATCGCTTGAATACAAAACTAAAACAAGAGTTCCGAGATTTCTTATCTTCATGTAAATTTCTTCATTGATTATGCAAATGACCTCTACATTAACATAATTAATGCATCGTGATGTTAACTTCTGATTAACTTACACATGTTCCAAGTAGCAAATTCCCATTATTTACCACTAGAGAGTCATAGAATTTTCAGATTAATTATTCAAACGAGGTCCATATTTGCATAATTGGTATCTAGGGATATTCCACCTGCCATAGATTATAAACATTACAGGTGTCAAAATCCCATGATGTAGAAGATTGGAATTACTGAATTTCCTCATTAATTACGAGTCATCAAATGAAGTCATTACATAAGATTTGGAAAGCGCCCATTAGAAAACAAACTAAGATCAAAGTGTTTAAGGCATGTATTGAAACAATTCTTTTGTATGGGTCAGAATCATGGGTCTTGAATATGTCACATTCTAGAAAACTAAACGGAACATACACGAAGATGTTGCGAGTGGTTTTCAATACACCATGGTGGAAACATACTACTAATGAACAGTTATACGGTTCGCTACCAAATGTAACTTCAGTAGTCAAATGTCGACGACTAAGCTTGGCCGGTCATGTAGTACGTAGTGAAGAACCAGCCAGTAGGCTTCTACTCTGGAACCCTGATACCTGTAAGAGAAGAGTTGGACGCCCAAACATAACAGTTAATAAACTTATTGAAACTGAAACTGGCTTGGAGGGACATGAACATTTCTCAGTGATGTATGACAGACAGTTGTGGCGAGCTAACTTTGTATGCTCCACCTCTACGGAGGATGAATGATGATGATGATGATGATGAAATGAAGTCATAATTTGCACTAAATAATGTAGATCTCTGTCTAAGCTACCGACATACCAGAAATTATAGAAATACATTATTCCTTTGTAACTCTAAATAAAAATCTAAAGGGACCATTGCCGAATATTGCATTACAGCCTAGGTGAACCCACGTGTACACTTTATATCAAATAGTTGCACACATCTCAAAACTCGATGCTTACGTTTCTTCAACAAAAAGTTGACTATTTCTGCTTGCAAATATACAGACACCGCCATTTATATTATGCGCACTCGACTCAAGACCATGGTGAACGAGGTAACCTCTAGTAGGGTCCTGACCTTTAAGGTCAACTCACCTGATAACCAATTATATATAGTGTTAACATAACGTGACATGTTTCTTCTTCATTCCTTTTTCTCTCTTCCTTACTTTCTTGGACTCTGTTGGGTTAAGGCGGCCTAGGCTTACGGGAAAGTAGTATTCTATACAAATGCCTGTATGATAGCTTTTGATAGCTTGGTCGCACCGTGACGAAACTTCACGCAGTTTTAGTTGTACTTGCAACGCATTGAATAAAGAGTACTTCAGTTTTTCTTCACCTGAATATTTGGGTTAAAAATACACATTTTGGCTAAAAAAAGCCGTTTATTTCATAAATTTACGCGCAAGCGGTAATAACACCTTCCATCGTTATATTCTACAAGATGAAAGCCAACCCCATACAGATTATTTCTGTCCGAGGCTAGTTTGTTTAAAATGGGTATTTTGTTTTACTTTTGGGTCAAAATCACAAGAAAGAGCTATTTTTAGCCATTTTTGGTTTAAAAATCGCCCCAGTAAGAAAACGCACAAATTTATGCAAAATAGCCTCGTAAGAATTTAATAAGAAAGTGATAATACGTAAACATGGATTACTCTAAAGATCAATTATGTTGTTTTTAGCTGCGCGTAAAGCCGTAAAGTCATAGTCCGTGAATAAAATGCGTAACAACGCGGGTTTACAGGGAAAACATACAAATGACCGCCAGTTCGCAACCCCGAATTCGAACACGCGTTCTATTCAAATGACGTCATATCGAACATGGTGGAACATGATTAGGGTTCGAAGCAAGTCTCTGGCCATCGTGCAGACACACGCCCAAACTCGAACATGATATATCAGCCTAGGCCGCCTCAACCCAACTGAGTAGCAAATAGAGTAATCAACACAACATAACAATGTAGTGGCGTGATCCTTTCTTCCTTTCTCTCTCTCCCTTACTTTCTAGGTGCGAAAAAATATACTACCTTGAAATAAACAGAGTCTAACATAATTATATACAACTGTGTCTAGTCTGTTTTACACCAAATAAAGTCCGCCTAAAACACAATTTTAATTCAACTTCTCAAAGAAATCTATCGAGTGATCTGTTTTGTAACACATAGAGTCTGCTTAGTGTTAACAGGCTTCGGTCGTAAATTTTTTCTGGCTCACGGCGCTGGCATCGCGTGTTTCTCCAGGGCTTCCAGGATATGAGGAAAGACGTCACGAACTGCGTTATGGCCGATGATCCCGTCGATGTGTCCGTATTCTGGGATGATGATGTGCGCATAACTAAAAAAACAGTTAAGTGCCACGAGTTACCACTTATTACAGGTCTATTACAGCTGCTAATAGTGATTATTAAAAAATCAGTTTAGAAAAGAATTCTTAGCCGATTACTTATATAGATTTGCAATGGTTTCTATTCAATGATGTTGCACCAGAATTGTTACTGCTATCATAATACATTCTTCTTTTGTCAGAAAAATTCATTAAAGGACAGTTAACCCTGGCCTTTATATTATACATGTAGCAGTATCAAACACAACATAATGCCACCTCATATTCATTTTATGATAATCATATGTGCAGCCAAGAAAATAGAAATGATCACACTCAAAGAAAGCGTACCTAAATACTGATGCAAGGAAGTACGGTGTTTTCTTGTATGATTTTATGTATCAATGCAATTTAAATATCGATGTAAGAGCCTACATACTCTTGATTAGGATTTGCTCGGCGGCATTGATCAAATGTTGTCCAGGTCGCCTCAGGTCGAAAGGTCATATTTTTCTTGCCCACAATAAAGCAGATAGGAACGTCCAACAGCTTCATCTTGTCCATGTAGGCATCAGAAGTCTCTCGGTACGCAGCCTTGTGGTCTGGTAAGTATGTGTCTTTACCGTTGACATCTAACAAACATTCCTCGCTGTAAAACATCAGTACATTAATAACAGTTTAAGTATATCCTTCGGATAGGATATGACGAATGTCGTGACATAGAAGGCCTGACATGCTCACAACAGCCTACCTAATTCTCTCTCAGGTGATTATTCGTCCTCTGACTTCTCTTAACCCTATTCTTTTCGATGACATGTTATTTTATGTACGTAATGTTAACAGAGTTGTGATTTCATACTAGTAAACTAGATTGAGAAAACCTATAGCTATAACGTCACCGCAGCCTCCAGGTGGAATAGGGAGTCACCAAACGTCAACATGGATTTGGGTCAAATATCACATCTATTTGTGCGGGAATGATAGAAACCAATGGATCACCTTTTGCAAATAGGATTTGGGGTTGAAAGGCACCAAAACTGAAAGTAATATATATGTCCTTTAATGTACTCCAAAAACAGTTACTCAAACAACTGGATATGATTTTGGAAACAGTCAGACATTTCAGGTCACATCCGGTACCTACACGGAAAGGTGGAAGCTACCTGAAACGTATATCCGTTTCCAAATTCCAGTTGCTTGAGTAATTTTTTGGGCGTATCTTATATTGTCTAACCTTCACCGACATATTAAAGAATGATATAACAGTTTAGTGGACCCGATTAGGCCACACAAATTTGATCTCATCGATTACGTTAAAGGCCATTAAATGATTGATTATTATATCAAGGCGAATGTGATTCTAGAGTCACAGCTGTCAACTAAGAGCTTAAACAATGATAATACAAGCACTAAATCCGTGACAGTAATATAAATATCTATTATTTTTTACGTCCGAATATCAGTGTGGGGTCTATTTTTTTCTCAGAAATCTGCACTGGTTGTTTATTTTGGAAAAAAAATACATCTGCTGGAAGCTCTTACCTCAAAACCTTTCCCAAATGTATAAAAGCTGTCAGGTTGCTGTAGCCGAAGAACTCGTTAAGAGTATCGTGTGTGTCAACGTTTAAATTCTCGTGCTGATACAACAGTCCGTACATGAAAGAGATCCTGAAATGGTACATGACTGGTAAAACCAATGGATGTTGTTGTTTTGCTAATTTATCACATTATACTAAGAAAAGAAAAGGCACGTAACATACCGACCTAAAATATACCGCAAGAATAAGGTAAATAGAAGAAACATTATTTAGAATGTTCATGATGTACAAAATTACTGACGCACTATTTTGAAACACCAAATAAGAAGTCGCGGCGCTTAGATGTTTTAGTGACGCCTCAGGGGAGCTTAATGGTACAGTATTAAGGGCAGTTTGCAAGAATTATAGGAAGTGAACATGGATTTTATCCACAGGCATGGAATGTCCACAGGAATGTTTCACAGCTTGCTGAAACACATCTATGCCACAGTCCTACTTAGTGAAATTTCTGGAAATCCTTGGGAAAATCTTTCTGCAGGACGACATACTTTCCCCGGGGCTCGTTCACGTTACACTAAGAAGGGGAGGAGTGATCTACTGAACTACGCTGCATCTTTCTTGACTTAACAGGTAACGGTGCACACACCAGTTCTTCCGCGACAAAAAAAAGTGACGAAAGGGTTTTGAGGGTCCAAGTTTGAGATGACATTTCTCATAAACTGCCACGAAATGTCATTAAAAATTAACATGGCTGAAGAGTTTAAGAAATTGTGATTTTGGGGTAAAAATTTCTTTTGGCTCCGAACCTTACTTCCGGGTATCCTTGCGCGCAAAGTGTAATCCGCCCGTTTGACCTAGATTTCGCTCTGCGCCTTCCTAGTAGCGGATTTGCAACCCCTCGCGCTGTGGACGATTAAAAAAAATTGCAGTACTAGAATTTTCTTTATAATTTACTCGGGTATAGTCAAGGTTTGGGTCTTTCTGCCAGCATCAGTCATTTCTGCCGGAATTTTTTTTTTCTATGGGATTATCCTACGTGAAAATTCGCACTTTTGTGCATTAATTTGAAAATAATGTTTTTTCCGTTGAGTTTACAAAACTTTAAAAGGTTGAAGAAACCAAACTCAGCTGGTCTTGTAGCTGAGGGGATATCCTTTCGTCCCATATACAGTTATTCTCCTTCCAAACTACTCCACGGCAGAGACGGTCGCTAGATTTGAGGGTGTGCAGCTTCGAATAGAAACGCCAAATAAACTGGGGTGTGCCCCCTTAACAAGGTACATGTATATACTGCCAGTGATGCACATAGGATATTAAACCTTATGATAATAATAATAATACACAATTATAAGTGTTCAGATGCAATGAAGCTGATAACTATCAATGTTTATTCGTATATTGCTCCTGGTGATGACATGTGATACTTTGTAATAATGATAGGAAAGGAACATGTACATCTTGGTACCTGTTAAGTCTAGACATACAGTGCAGTTCAGTAGATCACTCCTACCTTCCCCTGACTGTATATTGAACGAGCCCCGGGGCGAACAGATAGTATAGGGTTGGTTTTCCCAGAGACTTGTGACCTCAAATGTTATTTTGTGCAAACTCAAGACAGACCACAATGGGGCTTCCCCAAAATCATGAATCATGACAGTGCCATGGAAACAATAACCCTAGCAACAACCACCGTCGCCATGGCAATGTATGTTTTTATTGTCAGTCTTGTTCTAAATGATTTTTTTATGTGTAGAAACGAATTCTAGCGTAAATCATAAAATATCAGCTACATTTCCTACTCATCAACACAGTTATTTTAGCACAGATGTGCGAATGTTCGGTGTTACAGGTCGTTTAGCTAAGTACAACCGGTTGTCGCCACGTCGCGTGCCTATGAAGCTCTGTTAAAACCCTTGTACTGTTGGGACCCATATATAAATATGGGTTGCCCATATAGTACCAGCGCATAATGCCCTGTAGAAGGTCACAGTATTAATGGGCGACCCCCGGGGACGATGACGCGGGTATAGAAAGTAGTGCAGCGAATATTCTTGAAGGCTGGGTAGAAAGCCTGATAAGAGCGTCAGCCAGATGTAAATTGTGCTGTGTGGTGTAGGAATGTATCGTGTTTGAGACTGTATGATTTGATTTGTGAAGGTTTTGCAGTTCGTGTATAAATGCCCCGTATTGCGCAACTGGCTTTCCGGGTGAGTCGGCTGCAGTTCAGGTCACGTCCGTAGGAGGCGATTTCAAAGTGTACGTTACGAGCAGATACGCCGACAGGATTTTTTGGTTTCTAGATATTTTGTAGTTTGTACCTTCTTCTCAAACATATTCGATTTTCGTATTTGTGAAGTGCACCCTGCTATAATTTTTACCGCGTCGAAGTGAGTCATCTTGGGGTCCTTAACTATAGAAATCCCCATAGGGCGAAAACTGTGTTCTGCTACCATATGTACGATTAGGGGGCGTTTCTCGTGCAATGGCCATCACACCGCAGCGAAACGCAACGAATGCGGAAGTAACTACGCCACCGCGGACCAAAAAAAGTCAAGGGTTTGTAACCTGATCAAGACTTCAAATTATTTGAAAATATTATGTAAAACTTGCCAACAGGACAAGAGTTAATAGTTATATCGGCTATGTTGATATGCAAATACAGTTGTTTTCACCTACCTTCGGCAGACCTTACTGTTACATCTTTCCCGTGCCTTTACTTCCATCAGGTTAAAACCCTTACATCCAAACGTTGTCATGGCGTCTGTACAGAAGAACAGAACAGAAAATTATTGAACGATAATTGTACATGGTGCAATATATGGCAAAAACTATTAAACATAGGACAAAACGAAAAGGGTATAGAATGAAAATTAACAACCTAAATACTAAACATCAAGAGATGATACAGTAAGAAATCAAGTAGGGCTAATCATGATTTTAATTTGGCACTTTTTCTAACAAAACACTCCGTTATGTGTTTTTATATTTTTGCATTGTAAAAGTTCCTGCATTTGAATATTTAGATCTGTCCATAGCACCGAGTCTGCATAAAATCTATTATGCTAAGTTGCATAAATGTGAATACCTTAATACGAAATACATCGTATTTAGAGCATTTCATGATAAAGTGAAATTCGTCTTTAATTTGATTTGGACAAAATTGGGTAGAACCTTTGCATCCACCGTTAGAATCTAGACGTGCATTGACGCCTTCCACACCAAGCCGCTTCAATATTCCCGGAAGTCCGGCCTTGGCAGCAAACCTCCGTATGCGTTTGGTCAGAATGGGGTGAGCGGCGACCTAAGGAATGTCATTAATGAGAAAAATGTCATGTAAGTTTCCCAAAATCCGTATTCCTTATGAAACTAGACAAACCACATGTCAATGAACTATTCTTGAATCAATAGCTCAAGAAGTGACAAGAAGTAAAATCTGAAAATTAGTGTTGGCCATCGAGTTTCAATTGGCCTCACTGGCCTTTGGCTAGATTCCTTAGTTCCTAATTCGATCAACAAACCTGTGATGCGACGACGTTGCGAATTTTTCCTTGATGCTTGCCCAACAGTAAGGAAGCAAAGAATGTGATGGATCCAGCACAATGGACAAAGACCTGTATGTCTCGACTGCCTGTCACCTTTAAACATGAACGTACAGCAGATTCATTAGTTCTAAACTTGAACTATAAACGCATGGCTAAGCCAGTGTTCCTTTTGCAGTTTACAATAGATTGTAGTTACTAACACACTTGCGTATTGACGATTGTCACATATAAAACGTCAAAACAGGTAAGATTAGCGTTGAGAGGAAAATTCACTCTAGTGCCACGGCCTATATGTTGACACAATCGTTTCCCCATTTACCCGATAGTCTATGTAAAACTAACTAAACATATAGAGAATTCGGATGAAGTAGACCAGACAATACATGTATGATTTACCTTGAGGATTTTGTCCACGGCAGCAGGGTAATCGAACCTGTTGGAGTTTATATTTAAAAGTTATCGCTTTTCAGATGAAGCCAATTATAGACGTTGATGATATAATTTTTAGTAGTCTTACAGTCTATTCCTAGTGACCAAGAGGGTTGTTATTGTCATTATTTACATTAGCTTTAATTCTATGTTTAAATTTATATTTTAAAAAATTCATAATTTGGACATATTTTTAACATCTTTTAAACATTCTGAAGATTACCGGGTCATATTCCTGACGTAGAGTATGATGCAGAATGGGATATTTCCAAATGTAAAATGTCTAATTTCTTAGTATCAATTCACTGTCTAGTATTTACAATGCAATAAGTATAGTTAGATCCATTCGATGATGATAATTTTGTCTAGAAGACGACAGACATGTACGTAAATGTTTAAAATATAACATTTCGGACCTTTAATTCAAAGATAGCAACCATCCTAGATTACATATGTATATAATGGCAGCACTCACTTGGCGACATCGTCTAGTGTGAACTGTCTGAAGCACGCCGCTGGAAGGTCGCAGGACGCCCGCCAGTCCAACAGCCAGACGTCATAGTGCCTGGCAACCAGGTATTCCAGAAGGTTCGTGTCGACGGTGTCAAGCGTGAAGATACCTAATTAGTTCATGCATAGGTTTTTATGTTTATATATATAGATGTTTTAAGTAATAATAAGCAAATGGGTACCTACTAGAAATAGTACCTTTTTGTTAACTTTTTAATCTTATTTCACCACAAAATTACCGCCATTTTTTCCAAGGAATCCTTTCGTATACTACAGCAATTGAGAATTTTGATTCTTCATTGGCCGTCGCCTGATAGAGGTATAACTACTAAGAAACATTTGCTAAAACACAATATCCAAGCAAGAGAAATAAAAGAAGAGAGAAAGTTTTAGAGTTATTGCTTACCGCTGGAAACTCCCAATCCGGGTGACAGCATTACGGGGCCCTTGGAGCCAGCTCTGTAACGGGTGAGCCGCAACTCCACCTGAAATTTTCAAATAAAAATTTTTACATGAGGCATGATTTGCAAAAAAGTGCTGCCCATTTTGATAGAAATATGTAGTAGCCTGTCATCGGAGAGCATCATCGGTGAAAATTGGCATTATATTATATATGATTTATAATTTTATCCGTTACTGTTTACAATGAAATGCTATATCTATTTATACCACATAATGTGACCATATGAGGCAACTTGACTCGGGCTACTCATGGCAATATGAGTAATATGACCTCAATATGTACAAGTAAGTAATATAATTATGATCATTTATCTTTGGAACATTTCAATACAATTGATAGAGTAGCCATCAGGTCTGAGATACATGTTCATGCCTGTAGTCAAAACAATAGAACAACGGCATCTTCTTTCCACCACCAAGACTTCTGCATGTAGCTGTAATTAATACACTAATGATTAGCCAGGGGTGTTACAACCCAGGCTATTGTTTACGTTAGCACGATAAAAAAATGCCGTTGTTTCTGTTTTCTCAATGCCATAATGAATAGTTTTCTGACTTACGTTGTCATCCGTTAGGAATGAGTATATTTCTCGTTCGGCCCCTCCCAGGCGCAGAGATCGCTTTCTTTGACTATCTCTTACTGCTAGATCAGGAGAATCTTTCCCCATTGTTGGTCCATAGATTTCCCATAGACTCCTTGCGAAGAATCCGAAAAACTTTGACATCCATTTAAGTCGCTCCAGTCTTCCTTCAACGTTTAAAACTTCCATGGTTGACAGTTGGTCCATGAAGTCTCCAAACTTCATTTCTGTAAAAGAAATTTGCGAAATGACATCGTACATAACATATCAGTACCTAGCAATGCTGACAACCCATAATGGCTACTTGACTGATAGCTAGTTTGTTAAGTCGCTAAAGAGTGCAAATTTTGCCATCAAGGATAGCCTCCTACTCTTAATGAACACCCCTGTTTCGACAAACGAAAGGCTCTGTTACCAAAAGGCATGATTAACTCAACTTGACTGAATACTGTATTAGCTCTTGATGTTTAGTAATATGTTGTTAATTTTCATGCTATATTCTTTTCGTTTTTTTTTTTCAATAGTCGTTGCCATACATTGTACCCTGTACAATTTTCGTTTTTTCAATGAATATTAGCACCCGTTTAGCACCAGTACATCTGACAAGCTTTTATCGCGCCAACTCGTCAGGCTCATGATAATGTGAATGATTCATTTGGCTAATTCAAAGACTAGTCACATTCATACTTTGGTCAACTTACTGAGAATGCCTTCTGCAAATATCTCTCCTTTGTCGCTTGTTCCATGGAGGATCTTAACGAATAGTGTAGTGGTATCCTTCAGTCCTATCTCTCCGAAGTGGTCTCTGTGGACTTCCTTACGCCCGTGGAAGTAGAACTGCCGACCGTCCTTAGCGTTCAGGACCATCTTGTAGAGCATCTCCTTCGTGTCAACCATGTTCTACAATAAAAGAATACAGCAACAAACTTTAGAACATGGCCACTACCCCTAAGCCAATGAGAGCCCTTCATTTTCTGTGTCTATATCCCCATAGTGCAAAAAAGTGTGGTACTGCCCCAAAAGTGTGGTACTAAAACTAATTTGTATAAAATTAGTACCACACTTTTTAGTTAGTACCACACTTTTTGGGTTTACTAGGTTTACTTTTTGGGTACACTTTTTGAGTGTACACTAATCACCCGAGGGACAAGAGGATTGAAACACAGACCAGCGTTCTCGCAGACAAATGATGTATTAAAACTGATATTGAACAAGAAAATCTGAAATTGAACAAGAAAAACTGAAACTGAACAATTTTGAAATAAAACTTCGGGGAAATGGTCATGTTCTAAGTCAGATAGACCATGGGCTTGGGCTCGTTTACTGGGATATAGTGTTGCCCACCCACTCGGGGACTACCTGTCACCCTCAGCTGTCGCCTCGGGAGTCAGGCAGTCCCCTTGTGGGCGGAGCAACACTATGTCCCAATAAACCTGTCTGGCCTATTGTCTATCTATAACTAAGGTAACACTTTGGAATGAAAACATAGTGTTCCCTATATAGTTGCAGTTTTAGTCAGGCTAGATCTAGGTAAAACCTAGCAGTGATGTAAGAAAGAAACGAGTGGTACAGTTCTTCGTTTTTATATTTTCTACAATTTGTATCGGTTAGGATTTACTACATTTGCAACTGTTCTTTCGTTTTTGTCTCTTACTTGTATAATGAATAGGGTTAGTCATTATCCTTGTAATTTGTTTTTTTTTTTTTCATTCACAATTGATAATATACAGTATCTTTGACATTATTATGTTCATTAGGTGTTTCAAGGGAAGTCGGCCTGGGAAAATAACATACTGTTCTTGTTGCCGGCTCCCCTCGGAATTTTAAGTCTGAAAGTTGAATAAAAAATAGATAGAACAATCACCTTGTCATTACTAAAAAGCTGGAATATTCCATCCGACACAGTTAGCGGGTCCTTGTGCAGAGCGTTGCAGGTGACGGTACCGGAGATCTTCGCCGAGTGAGCGGCTTCGTTTAGCATCCCCTGCAGGTCGTCCGACTGGATGGTGAGGACGAACTCGCATGGAGCGGCAGCTTTGGCGCCGTTTTTGCTGTAGTCGACACTTCCTACCATTCTCTCCGTGAAGCGCAAACCGGGTCTTACTTGCCTGATCTCCGAAGAATCTACAGAGAACAATAAGGCCAGAAAAGTATTTCAAACTGTATACGCCAATCATAGCATGGGAGATCATTACTAGTTGTTAGAAATCGGTATAAAGAATAGCCTAAAAACTAACAAATCCCATGTCTTGCAGGACTGGGCTTTTGTTAGTGATCATAATGACATTGGCTAGCTGGGCAGTTCTGGCGTTATAAATGTCATCCCTAGCTGAATTAATTAACCCTATCTAGGCTGGGCTTTTTGGGGATCTTTGGCAAGGCAACAAATTTCCTTTTTTTGCCCCAAGTCAGGTAAAAATTAAATGCGCGCGTGATGCCATCCATAGAAATTACTTGCTGTGGTCTAAATGACGTGATTAATAAACTTAGCGCACTCCTGCGGAAGCTGTAGTCGATGGTCCAGCTATGGTCCTGAGCCATGAGTCTCATGCAGCGCTCTGCCACCATGCAGATGGTGAGAGTGGGGTTGACTCCGAGACACCGTGGGATGATAGCGCCGTCCATAACGTATAGCCAGTCGTGAACAACGTCTGTGTACATGTTTCCCCTGAATACCTGCAATAAAAATCGCGTTCATTCACGTGTGGTTATTTTCTGTTGCAAGTCTACGAAAGCCACGCCTTCCGCATTGGTGTTCCAGTGCTGATACAGTGGACAAAACGGCATTAAAATTGGACGCCTACTGCTGTGAAGAACGTCAAGCACTGGTTTTCCAGCAATGTATTACACTGAGTATTTTAGTGCTGAAGGGCTTTGTGTCACTGCTGTTTCAGTACTGGAATTCCAGGGCTGAACACTGTCTCAGCACTAGGTCTCCGGTGCTGAAAGGAGTTGAGATTGGTGTTCTAGTACCGATCTCCTTTCTGCAATCGGTTACCAATGCTGAACAAACCGTCAGCACAGCAGTACGGCAATTCAGTACTAAAAATTCCAGTGCTAATAAAGCCTCTTCCCACACTGGACTTAAATGCTTAGAAAGGACAGCGTAGTTTTCGTAGTAAATGCGACTTTTTGGTTTCTACGTACGTCATTCATTTGAGCAATCAAACATAACTCCTCGAAGGCAGGTTGGCAATATAGTGGCAATACGTATGTATACATTCACCACCATTCTCCTGCTCACATTTATATTAATGCAGAGACTTATAATGATACGACTTTTGCACATTAGCTGACGCTTGGTTAGAGGCCATGCTTCTTAAAGTGGAAATGGGACCCTTGTTGATATTGTTGTGCTGTGAATCTTGATATATTTCATTTGACTCTTGCCTCTCTCCTTATGACTTCAACGAAAAGCGGCTTGCATGACGATTTGTGCCTTTTTGAATAAAGAATTGTTCAAACCCTAGTTAAGAATCGTGTTGCAAAAGTTTGGTGTCTACAGACCGAAAAAGATACCAAATAAATAGCATCTACCAGGCTTCGGGAGGGGGCTAGAAATAGTAGAAATTGGAAAAATAGAGAGATAACACGCGAGGGAGTTCGTCTGCTAGAGAGTGCCTGTTGCCGCACTATACTGTCTATCTGAGGAACTCCCCCGGCTTTTCATACCACTTTATTTAATAGCCAATTTCTACTCGTTCCAACCGCCTCCCGAAGCCTGGTAGAGGTTACAAATGTAGGCTTTTATAACCCCACCTGACCCTTGTGGTTGACTACCTCAGTCTTGCTTGACTCTCCCATCGCGCAGCCTCCGAGCGGATGTACCGTGATGAGAGACTTGACATCTCTGTACCTCGCCAGGATCCCTCCCCACATGGGATTCGGCACGAATGTACCTTTTTTTTTATAATTGAGCAACATAGAAACTTACAGGACCCGCTAGAGTTGCCCACCACTCTAGCAGGTTGCTAATGTTAACCCCACCACTGACAATTAAAGGTACATACAATGGTAATTAAGAATTAAAACCAAAAAAAACAACAACAGAGTAACAAATCAGCAGCAAATGGGCAATATAACATGTAAAGGCAGGATCATGCTCTGTTGAAATTGAAAAAAAAACGGTTTTCCTTAGGGAGTCGAACACATTTAGTACTTGAATGAAAACCGTTTTTTAGTGAACAAACTTAAGTCAGATTGACTCAAGGTCATTATTTTTTTGTTGGTTTCGTTTCCAGGCTCACGAGAGATGAGCCCTTATATATTACGTAATAAGGAAGTACCTTCAAGACTCGTAACCGCCACTTTATGTTTGTCATTGACCAGGTCGAAGTTTTTCTCGTCCCCAACGCCAGGGTACTCCATGACGATGGAGCCTTGCTTATCCAGGACCAGGCGGCCTTTGTCTCTATCCTGACTCATCGTTAGCATACCAAGCGTTCGCGACATTTTGCCTGGCTGCAGTTTCTTGGCGATCCTCTCCCAAAGATTTTTCTTCGGGAAATTGTCGATCCCGCTAAGGCTGCTCTCCACAGACATCAGGATGCAATACGCCAGCTTGGTGACATGGGGTGGGGTGCCGTCTTGAATGACGTAGCCCTGGCGTAGGTCTTTTTCTGGCAGACGTAGGTCTATGACACCGCTGATGCATGGTCCTAAACATGAGAAACCAATCAATATCCGATAGTAAATATTTCAATTGTCGTAAGCCTTGTACTATTGTATTGTGCACTGTCACTACTGTATGTTGAGAAACTGTCTCGTTCTCGTGGCCAACTTATGCTATGTTATGCTAACGGTCTATTCTATACTACAGTAAAATACGCCAAAAACAGCTACTGCAGCAACTGGATATGATTTCGGAATCATAATAATCATTCCAAAATTATATGCAGATTTTGATATCATGATTTTGGAATGATTATTATGATTCAAAAATCATATCCAGTTGCTTGTCAATGAGTAACTGTTTTTATTTTGGCTGATATTATTACCTGGATGTCTAACCTAATCCGACGCAAGGCAAGGTGTACGCCTCGAGGTGAATATGGTCAGATAATCCCTGGTCAGGTTTGATAACCCCTGAATAAACCACCGAGTGAGCGTAGCGAATGTTATGCCGTGCTCCCTCCACTACATGACATGCAGGCAAAGTTAGAAATGTCCTTAGACTAAGTTTGTTCTGTAACCCGAATCATGTTCCACCATGTTCGATTTGATGAAATTTGAACAAAACGTGTTCCGCATGACGTCATCGGCGGCCATTTCGGTCGACGCTGATTGGTTCCGGTGTTTATGGGATTTTTAAAAACACCTCTGGGTGTGTTATGGTGTCATAACAAATAGCAAATGGGGACCTCTGATTGGTCAACGCCATCTGGCTATATGCTAATTCTGGTTAATGTACACACAAAGAACGACGACTCTTACCAGCAGGCTTGAGCCTATCAAAGCCAGGCGGCAGTCCCACAGAATGAGCCTCCTCACGGCCGTTATAGCTGAAGCTGATGGTGTCGCCGTTTGTGCTGAAGTGTTCCCCTAACTGGTCAGACAGATCCAGGCCCCTAGGATAGGACGATAAGACCGATATCAATTAAGAATCAGCAGTCATAAATTGAATACAGAAACAGGTAGATATCATAATGTAGTCCCTGACCGAAGGTTTTGTCGAAAGCAAATTAAAAATGAATTTTACTTTGTTACAGACTGCACTAAATATAATGTTTTATATTCACATTTCTGGAATTATCTACAACAGATTTCAAGAGTCTCGATGCTAGAGACAGATTTGAATATATCTTAACACCCAATAACTCCCACAATGCAAAAATATGTGAATATATAAACGAATGCTTTATTATTAGTAAAAAAACACACTGGCAACCAAAACGATTTTAACACTATATCAAAGACAGCCTTTGTTAGCACTTGTTGTTTGACTAATAATACTCGTTTTTTTTTTTATACTTGGTCTTAGTCTATACTTTTTTGTACTTTGTTCAATAGTTGTTGTTATACAGAGTCTTTTCTACTATATATGCCATGCATGTCGTTATGGCACTTCACATGTCGGTCACTTTTTAACACATTGTTTATAAGTCTCTGTGGCTTTTCATACGGTGTTTGTTTATTTATGGCGGGCCATAATCTCGATCACCCAAAACCCCTGCAATGCTGGAATGCTAAGAAAATAATATGAAGCAGGGTTATGTATCAATCTTAAGATACAAAATAGTTTCTATGTTTTCTTTAAAGTTTCTCGGTACTTTGACAGATTTGGTAAATAACAAACTGTTGAAGTTGCTGTTGTTTATTTTTCAGTTCCACTACGCTGTCTAGTACCTATTTTTTGAGTTGTGCAAAATCTTGGTGGAGCCCAGTGCACCTGCGCTTAGGATGACAATATCAGCGCGGATGAATCGTTCTTCTTCCTGGAATCCGTCCTGCATGTGAGGGACGTAGGCGACTCGCCACCCCTTTTTGTTCTTCTCGATGGCTTTCACCTCTACCTGCGCAAAAGGTATAAATGTACTGATAAAGTATTTATGTTATCGATATAGATGCGTTGTTTTTAATTCTGAAGATGCATATTAATGTAGTTCTTCTTTGTGGGTTGGCAGACAACTTTGATTTGATTTATTGAAATTGCCACAGTGCAATACACGCGGAACAGAGGCAGCTGTTGCTGTTGCTGTGTCCCGCACATAGAAACGAGTACTGGACAAGGAATACTCATTTTCACTTGAGTCTAGTAGGCAAAGTCGTGTAAAGTGTCTTTCCCAAAGGGCACAAGATCGGTGGCATGGCAGGACTCGAACCCGGGGCCTCTTGATTGCGCCACACGACCCCACTGTCGTGTTTTAAGCCAGTTTGTTTCTGGTACTGGGCAGACACCATCTCAGGGAATTCCACTTTGCTATAATTCGTGGGGAAAAGGGACATCTGCCTGTATGTCGTTCTGCTGAGAGTGTTATTGCAGGCTGCAAATGCAGCAAGATCGACCACAGAGTTCTCACCAGATTTTTTACAGCATAGGAGTCGAGTTTCAAATCGTGATTCGTAAAATAAAAGAGGTTTTGTGCCGGTCAGTCATACTGAGTGGAAGTTTATATTGAGCTCCTTCCTCAGAATATACTCCGGGTTCTCTTTAGGTGGCAGAAATTGAGATTCTTTATTGACACAACAAAGGAGTACAGGGACTTATATATGGTCTTCTACAACTAAAGATTAAAAAAGACTTTCACGAGTGAAAATCTCCGCTCTGTGGTTCCTGTGGCAGGTAGTTCATGATGGGCGCCGTAATTCCAGCCTGAGCAGCAGTTATTACAGGTACAATGGGGGAGACGGTGTTGGGGAGTGAAATTAAAAAGATCGAGACTTACACGAGTGAAAATCTCCGCTCCGTGGTTCCTGGCATCAGGCAGGTAGTTCATGATGAGCGTGTTCTTGGCGCCGTAGTTACAGCCTGAGCAGCAGTTTCCACAGCCGTTACACGCCGCCTGCGCGACCCCCACATGATTAGATACCGTTTCTGAAACGCCAGACAAAAGAATAATCCGGAACCTCTAAGAAATGTTTAGTTTTTTTTTTAATCTTATGCATGGTGATAGGACCATCTGCTCATAAGCTAAATTTATATGCAAAGTTTTCACATTGCCCCTACCTAGTAACATGCAACACACTGGTGAAATCCTTATCATTTAGTATGGACAAGGTATGATATTGTTGGTTATATGCTATAGACTAATTATTAGGTTTCATACACTACAAGAGTTCCACGAGCCCATACCGTTGCCAAATCATCTGTGACATTTCATGATGTGAGGAAGTCCTTGCTAATCTATGGGGGAGGCGCCGGACAAGTCTTGGTATCACCTCCCTATGGACTCGATATCTACTCTTGTATCAAGTTTTTGTTTTGTGAACATTCAAAATAGATAAATAAATCAAAGTATATCAAATGAAAACCAACGAAACCAGATTAGCCTTTTCAGAAATAGCAAATCATCCGTAAACAATGATTCTTTTGAAAGTTACCCGTCAATGATCCTATTTTGTTTTCCAAACTATGAAATTACGCTCTTGCCCTTGTAAGTTTTACCTTCGTTATTTTGAGAAACGTAAATTGTCCTGATTTATTTTGAGGAAATAGTGCTGACCTTTGAAGTTGACATACAGGGGCGGCCTGTAGAAAATCTTATCCAGTTCCTCGTTGTCTTTAACTTCATTCACTATGGCCTTGGCTGCTTTCTCCATTTGGCTCAGTTTGGGGAGTGGAGGGTCGTCTTGGGGGTAAGGAGTAGGCTTGAGCATCTGCCAAGCATGATCCCTGTCAACCTTATTGACAACCTCCAGGTCATTACGAAACGCCTTTGGCCACACCTGAATGCCAAACATGCATAAGGGAATTTGTAAAACTGTGTTGTGTTTTCGTTCCTTTTATAAGTTCTTAAAATGTGATGTCTTTTGTTTTCTTTTTGCTTGGGTACATTTGTCTGTGTGTCTATGTTTGTGTAGCTAACTCTTGGGTGTCCATTTCGTTGTGTGATAGCACATGAATCTGTGGTCTGTATGAGGAATCCCCATGAGGTTTTTTTTAAAAGCTGTCGTTTGCTGGCATTGTGTTTTTGCACAACAAAACCGTATGCAACATATTTGTTTTTTATTTGAATAAAGTGGTGATAACACATTTGATTGAATCTAGCTACCATATACCTTGTGTTTTGAGTTAGCATGAAGGGGTTTTTACTATTGCCATGTAGATTGTAGGAAAAAATAGGCATGCTCACTAAGACCTAATAGGCTTAATTAGTGAAGAAAATATATTTTAAACTACATAAAATCTAAAAATACAAATAAAAATTTTGTATGTGATGTGATCAAAATTGCGCGGCAACATGCATTAAATGTTAAACATCACTGTCGGACCACGCAATTCAGTAACGTTCACATAAACTTCACAACAAATTACATTTCTGACAATTATTTGAAGCATCAGATCAGTAGATTGTTTAGCACAAAATCTTTCCGAGTATAGGTTACCGTAACTGTACTCAGCGCATATAAAATCAGAGTCTTTTCTACTGTAAAAGTTCTTAACGTTATGTGATTAGCTATAACCATATGAAATTGTGTGGACATCACGATCAATAAGTACGGACCTTGTCCTCGAAAACCCTGGGGTCACAATCCAAGCCAACATTGGCGTTGATGAGAGAACCACCGCCTAGTCCACAGCCCTTCACAACTGACAGCTCTTTGTTTATTATAACCTTCAAAGTAAATAAGAGACAATGGGACAAAATTACCGATATGCGAAATTTCGGACTAAGTCATCTAAAGGATTTTGATTTATAGGCGTGGACACACTGACCAAGACAAATTTGTTTAAAGTATAAAAGTTATCTTAGCAAAGACAAGTTATCTTAACAAAGCATTTGCTCATAAATCATGCCATTAGGCCATTGTTTGGCATGATTTGCATTTAATAATGTTTAACGCTAGTTGTGAATAGTCCACATATCTATATATATGATACATTGTGATATGCTATTTTCCAGCTTCTACATAACTAATATTCTATTGTGAAGTTGAAGCTAGGCTTTATATTTTATACGTTTTTTCGGGCAGTCTTTTTTCATTCATTCTGCTGTATACGTACGTCCACGAGATCTGTTGGCTGGCCGAGCTTGCAGTCCACTGCTGAATTCCCAGTGTTGATCTCTATCTGCGTTTCTTTAAAGGCCTGAGACAGAGTATCCGGGTACTCTCCAGGCTGTAGCTCCTTACCGCGCTCAAGGAGACAGACAGACACGCCCGCTCTGTGGCACCCATTGCAGTTTTAGGGTGGCAAAACAAAAATATTGTGGATGAGGAAATCTGTCTGATATTGACATTTACTGTCATTTCATAGCATATTTTCATTATACATTACGACGGTTACATGGTACGTTTTTGATGACGTAGAATTTTAAATCACTCTGCCATATGAGAACCAACCACCGGCAAATCTTGAGAACAGTGTTTTCCCTAACAAGACAGCTGGGCTTTGTACGGCACATGCATGACTATCCAATGAATGGCCTAAAGACGTGGGCGGGGGTCGTTACGACAGGCGTTCGGCTCGAAACCAAGAGTTCAAATCCTGCAATGTCACCGAAGTTGTGCCCTTTGGAAAAAATTTCCTCATTTTACTCAGGTGAAAATTAGTATTGTGTTGTCCCCTGTTGGTGGCGGCATAAAAAAAAGCTGAAAAAATTAAGTGTGCCATTACTACGTATTGTGATTAAATGTTGAAGTATTTTTTTTTAAATGTGACCGGGACATTAAACCGTAAATTCTCACCTTGCAGCGCGACTTGCAGCGATTGAACCGCCGTATCCGGACCCGATCACCACAACGTTGTAATGAGGCCTGACGTCTGCTAGGTTAGACTGAGACAATCGGCTGTATGTAAACTACAGAGGGAACATGAGCAAAATGGTTTAAGTCACCAAACACCGCCTGACCATTGCTGACCTACCTTCAGCCAACCAGCCCCTAACAATGGCCTAAAAATAACCTCCCGTCCACCTCCGAATGTTTTAAAGGAGTACTAACCTCCAGAAGGAAGTGCTGTTTTCCGATACATCATGCTGCAATGAATACATAACTAGCCGACTTTTTACATAATTTCGCTTGTACGAGTTGCGCGGCGCATGTTTGTAAAGTAATATTAATATCATTTTCCCCCATGCTGAACCACAATTGATACATCCGGGAACTCTGGCTTACGCAATACTCATACACTTCAGGTCAACATAAACATTTTTGGACGAAAATGGTAGGAGACAAGCACACTAACAAACTGATTATTGAGAAATGACTTGCTTTACTTTGCTTGACCTGCGGTTTTGATACTGTAATATCAGGATGTCTAATGCAGTGGGCGCTAGTTTCATCCTGCGTGTTTTGATTTTCTCAACTTATTTGCATGTAAGCATTACTTGAACAGATAATTAGATTACGCCACTTATGGAAAGGATAACTAGATTACGCCGTTTTTTTCATCGTCAATATTTGCGGCATAAATGAGGGGCGATAAGGACACCAAGAAGGGCAAAGGTTAGTAAGATACCAAAGAACACAAAACGGTACGAATTTTTCTTATCGCCCCCGAAATGAGGTCTGTAACGTAACTTTTTGTTTAAAACATAGACACCAATGGGGTAGCGTGGTGTATTCTGGGATAGTTTTGAGGGTATTTGGAGAGTTTGTCCTGGATTCGATGCGTTTTAAGACTTGCGCGCAAAATGGGCATTCAATTGTATACTGTAAAATAATATGCATTTTTCACTTCCAAAAATGAATGCCTGTCGAAATATAGCACCTCCTTCTGGAGGTTAGTACTCCTTTAAACATTTCAGCTGGCCAACCAGGTAATAGGGCAAAACGCTAGCCAACCAAAACCGACCTTGGTCCCGATTTAGTCCCTGTTGTGTCCCAAACCGTGCCTGGGCCAAATCCACATTCTGGGACACGTGGGAACTGTCCCGAACCGTGCCTGACCGGGCAGAGTTCTGGACACACAGGGCCTTGTCCCATTCCGTGCTTTGGAGGCGGAGCTTAGTGTTTTGAGGAAGGAGCCTTCTCGTGTTGTTGTTTAAGGTAGCAGAACACAGTGTTAATGGGCGACCCCCGGGTCATGACGCGGGGATAGAAAGTAGTACAGCGAATATTCTTGAAGGCTGGGTAGAAAGCCTGATAAGAGCGTCAGCCAGATGTAAATTGTGCTGTGTGGTGTAGGGATGTATCGAGTTTGAGACTGCATGATTTGAATTGTGAAGGTTTTGCAGGTGTAACAGGCCAATTACTCATTAGACAGTCTGGGGTCACGTGGTGAGAGCACGTGACCCAGACACGTCATTGGCCAAAGCCTGACCACGCCTCCGCCATGCAAATGTCGCTCCGCCCTTCCGTGCGCACTATAAAATAGCGGGACGCGCCCTAGATCTAAGTTCTTCACCTCTCGGAAGCTCCGTTCCAGCACACCGGTTTAGGTTAGTAGTAGTTTAGTCTAGTAGTTTTCCCTACAACACACTCGACTGTACAGGTAATTGGTTTCCGTTCTCAGTCTTTGCCTACTTTTAGTATTGTGTTTCACTCTGTAACTGTTCCGTTGTATAACTTTGTATTTGTAGTTCCATTATATGTTGCATTGCTTTGTATCTTATACCGCAGTTAGTCAATAAAGTCACATCAAATATAAATCGACCTGGCTTTGGTGTTACTTAGAGTGAGAGTCTAGTAACTTGTGCCTTAGAGTGAGAGTCTAAGGATTGTAACCGTAATCGTAAACTGTAATCGTAAGTTAGCCCAAATCCTACCCACGCAGAAAGACCGTCTGTTACATAGAAAGAACGTTTGTTACACAGTTCGTGTATAAATGCTACTCTCCAAGCAGAGGTTGTGGGGGAATGATCGTTACATTTTTATATATGGCCGTTTTTTTTGTCCTGACCCCCACCGCGGAGCTTCTCCGGCTAATGGATACTGCCTGGCCAATTTGATACTGTCCTTTTGCCACCGAGAGGGATCTGCTCGGAGTTATTTAAATGCGCCGTATTACGCAACTTGCTTTCCGGGTGAGTCGGCTGCAGTTCAAATCACTTCGGTAGAGATTAGGGGGGGTTGGACGGGTGACACGTGACGGTGTTATCCAATCAGATCGCTTGGGTTTTAGAAATTGACCGTAAGGAGGGCTGTTTGAACCCCGTACAATCTGCTTATTTTCTAAGAGAACGATATCGTTTTCAAAGACCAGATTTTCACCAAGCTGGAACAGAGACCTAATTTCATCGATGGAGGGAGATTCCAGTATCCAGGTACGTCTTGAATCCCCGATATTCACGTCGTATTGTGGGCAACCTTCTGCTTGCTTATAGCGCACTTTGCAAATTTAGCGATTTTGTGGTGTTTTCAGGGGTCTAGTTTACAATTTTCCCGCGAGGTTCTTGGCAATTTTTTGGTCTCCACATGAAGTTAGTGTCTTTATCTTCTCAAAAGTTTGAGCGGACCCCATCGGACCTCGCTTCGTTAAGCCGCGCTAGCAGCGGCTAAACTTGACGAGGTCAGCGGGGCCGGCCGATCGTATCCAAGATGGCGGCATTGTTTCGTGGCATGTTTTGCATGTACGATTGTTTCGGGAGTTTGCTTCATTTGTTCGATCCCACAAGTACAGGGGATGCTAGGAATCGACTGTGACGAAATGACGACCATCTGAATACTTATCTGGTACTTTATTTTTGGTACCGTTATCTTTATTATGATTAAACCCGGCTTGGAAAATGATGTTTTTGTTTGTTTACGCCAGCTAGGGGAGGGGGGCACGAACTCGTACGAACACATGTTAACCACGCACCACGTGCACATCATTTGTGAATGATATTATTTTTGCGTTTGTGTGTGTAATGAACACATCTTCTGATAAAACTGTGACAACGTGGTTTTCGCGGAATGTTGACCATTCTTATGTGAAACTTCACACATACATGACATGAGCGTATAAATTAACAGAACATTCCCTGGCCCTTGCCATGAGTAAATTTTGTTGCGACTACTAAGTAGTTTATAGAAAACAGTTTAATACAATTATTGTGGTCACAACACGCAACATAGATGTGCAGATTGAATCTTAGTCTACTACAGTTTGGACATGATGAACTGTGATTTTTAAACATTTATCGTTGCCTACGCTTTTAATTTAATTTGTCAAATTTTCTGTGGTGTACATTGTATACTGACTGTTCTTTCATCTTCCTTACTAGCTTGAAGAATTTCATCAGCTGAGAGGTTTGCAGACCCACGGATTGAAAACGTGGTTTCAGATGCAGCGAAGATTCTTCAGAAAAATCCCACAATAGTGCGAAGAACGCCCCCAGCTACATTTTGTACTTTGTAATTTCAGTTGAAGAATTTCAATAATGTAATTTCAATATACAGTTACAGTACCTTGTATCCACATGACAGCAAACGTGTGTGACTGTCCTAGATGATTGGTGTCCTCTTGCCAATTCTCTGACAGTTTACTACTGGTACTGTATGCCTGGCCTTCTGCTTAGACTATGACTTGTTTAGAATACAACACATATTTCCTGTCACTTCAGTCACTGCCTGTGTACAAATTCTCAGAAAATTACCATCTTTAAATTCTTACAAAACTTACATAGAATACAATTTTATTGCAAAAGCATTTAAGAGTCTTGGAGCCATTTGCTAAAAAATATTTTTCCTGGAATGTTATGCTTCAGTCACTAGATCTCTACTTGTAAAAGAAAAAATTATTCAACTCCAGCTTCTTACACATGTGAATGATAAGCTGTTCATTGCACAAAGGGAACAGCATCATTCTGCACAGAAGTGCAATCTTCAATCTATATATGGTATGTAGTTTTTAGAGTCTATTATGTAGTTTTTAGAGTCGGTACTACTATCCGAAGTCAATACAACAATGATGATCTATACATTGATTCCACATATTGAACAGGTAGGTAATTTGAATGCAAAGTGGTAAGTTGCTGTGTAAGGATTTGTGGATCGGAATCTGTCACCTGATAGGGTGAATGTGAATTGTGTACAAAATGTACATACAATCTGCATGCATGCATGCAATCTATAGTCTTTTTTAACCTACACTCTGTACAGTGAATGTTCTCTACACAGCTTTCCCTACACTAGTTAGAGAGTCATATACAACAGTAATAGCTAAAATAGTACCTACTGTACAGACCTGGAAAGACAGACAGGTAAATAGCATCATATGGTAAAAGTCTGGTTAATGATTTATTTGATATCAAATATTGGTTGGAATAAACATTATACTTTGCAACAAAAAGATAATGTAGACTTCTCCATACATAGCATTCATCAAATACTATGCCAACCATTGACATCATTTGCAAAGGTAAGACAATAATAATAGAATTACAGCGGCATTAGCTATTCATATGTTTATTCATAAGTTTACTAATGACCAATACATTTCCATTCATTTTGAAATGACTTATGGAAAGCATACTAACATTATATAATGTATGCGGTATCATAAGCTGTCGATAAACATGTATTTATAAGTTATGCAGTGTCCAGCTCTGTTGGTTGCTCAAGAAATAATTCCTTTGCTTGGAACATACAAATACATCCTTGTGTTGCCAGCATGAGGCACAGACAGCTATCACAACAGCCCTCACAATGTCTCTGGTGAAGGTTCTGAAGATGTAAGGTAAGGAAGGACCGACAAAAGCCTTACAATACCCAGTCTGTGGAGCATATGAGAAATGAAAAACTCTAATTAGAAATTACTACAGTTGGAATGCATTCGGATAAAAATGTGTGGATATTACATATTATTTTATAGTAATGATATTCATAATTTACAATATCACACAAAAAATAATACTACACACAAAAGCACCAAGTTAAGAATTCTGGACAATGGTGAATGTAAGTTTATTTCCAAGTTCGAAGCCTCGTCTTGATATAAAATCCCCAAATCTATCGCCCGAACATACACATTATTTTTGCTTACGGTAAGCATCGCCCCCCTCCCCCTCCTTGCGCAGCAAAAGTCAACAAAAATTTTGCAAGTCTGAACATAGCAACAAAGAAAACTACGTTCATGCACACGTTCCCTTACTCCTGCGGATCCCAATAGTAAGTGGGGACACGTGTAGCAGAGGTAAGATCACTCGTAAGACACAGTTTTAGTACCGGTAGCTTCGAATTCCGATCGTTGTGAACAGTCGTTCTTTTACGCTATTTTCCCCATAATTTTTATTTATACCGATTAAAATTGCTACGCTACAACAACCACACCGTGAACAAAGTCTACACGAACCTGATGTATTCTGTGGACAAGCACATGGCCCGTAAACGCGTTCCCGGTGACGAAAACAGTACTAGAAGGCCGTGATGATCGTACTGCAGCCATTTTGAATGTGTATTCAAGAGCTCCCCGCACGACCGCTCCGGGCGGCTGAGCCCGCTGCGGTTCAGACCCAAAATTACCCGTCATGCTTTTCGGGACCCGTCCAACCCCCCCCCCCTGGTAGAGATAGCGAATTCAAGGTGTACGTTACGAGCAGATGCGCCGACAGGATTTTTTGGTTTCTAGATACTTTGTTGTTTGTACCTTCTTCTCAAACATATTCGATTTTCGTATTTGTGAAGTGCAACCTGCCATAATTTTTACCGCGTCGAAGTGAGTCATCTTGGGGTCCTTAACTATAGAGAACCACATAGGGCGAAAACTGTGTTCTGCTACCTTAACTGACTGTTTAGTTTTTCGTCGGGACAAGAATAAGAAGGAATCGGTGTTATTCTTGCTCTGTACAGTACATTTTATTTTTGTGCTGGTCTAAGATAATTTACACATACATGTAGTGTCAAAACAGAGTTTCTTGTATCATTCTACAACAAAATGAAAAAGGTTCTATCGGTTTCTAAGGATTGATCTATTCTTCATACAACACATCAGTATAGAGAACTAGAGTCAAACGATCTCATACCTTCGCCAATGATGTTAATCTTTATGACAAAGTAAAGATTATCCCTCCTGATTATGCAAATGAAATCCTCATTTGCATGAATCATATCAGTTGATCATATTCTCCATCAAAAGAAAGCCTTATTTTAACAAAGAAAGCCATTCTATCATTTCTTCATAAATTGTGCAAATGGAATCCTTATTTGAAGTTATGTTTAATAATGTTCACCTTCACTTAACTGTCAAGTACCCCAAGTATGAAATTCTAGGTAGTTACCATTATGGAATTATAACATTTTCTCATTAATTATGCAAAGTGTTAATTTACATAATACATATCTGCCTGTGTTTGTCTCGTTCCCAATTACATATTTTACAAGCTTGAATAGTCCTATAATGTAATGCAGCTGATTTGTAGAATTTCCTCATTAATTATGCAAATTACATGTATATTTGCATAATTGTTGCATAATTTTCTCAAGCGTCATTTAAGCTACCTACATACCAATAATCACGACGATCCGTCAAACGGTTCTTGAGTTATCCTCTTTTGAATATTTTTACAGAAACGCCCCTGCAGTTCCAGAACAAGCCGCTAGGGGGCCCAAACCTAGGTTACTTCCTCCCCAGCACAAGAGCTACCTACCATTTAAATTTCGTGACCCCAGCACGTCCAGATCATGAGATATTAAAACCGAAAATCCTGCTTCAGTACCACAACAAATCGCCAGGGGGCCCAAAATCTAATCATTTCTAGGTGTCATCAAGACTTACCCACCTACTAAGTATGAAGACAATCCATTTAATCGAGTTATCGTGTCCACAAACACACAGACAGACAGACACACACACACGAACTCCTCTGTAAACATAACCTTCTTGGCGAAGGTAATAAAGTAGATTGACCCCAAAACAGTCATTGAATCGGAAACAACACTGTGCTTATCCACCAACCCCACGCACGGATCCGGATAGTCCTGACGTGTATCCACCATAGACTAGAGCAAATCAACTTCTAGATAAACAAGATGTTTGTCCAGACCCATGCCTCAGGTAGCACACAGTTCCGGACTCGCGATGGCCTTGCCCCAAACCTGCAGCTGGGCACGATTTGGGGACTGAGCACAGTTCGGGACACGCGATGGCCTTGTCCCGAACCGTGCGTGGTACCGCCGATCACTATTATTGACAGCACTTTTTGGCCAGGTTCTGTGCCCGCCCAGGCACGGTTTGGGAAAGGCACGGCACAGTCCCAACTATAGTTGGAAGGAGATTCGGCAGTGTTGGGGACGCCATATCCGGCATATGCGTGACAATGGCGTAAGCCAAAGTGTTTCCATCAACAATGTAGCAACAAGAAACAAGAAAAAAGCTTGACGGAAAATTCGGACTTACCTTGTTCTCCTCGAAAGGTGACGACTTTCTTTTGGGGGCACTAAGAGCCTTGTAAATGCGCCAGGGCACTCTAAATGGCCATAAACAACGTCTGAATACACGGAAACCCATGATACGTATACACGAATACGGTGTAAACCACCGGTGACAGACAGCGTTTACAGTAGTTAATAGAAAACTATGGTCGGCGTTAGATGGTATATACTGTGCTGAGATGTGCTCTCCACATCCTGAGAGAAACGCTGAGAACAGTATTACTATGCCAAGAGTAACGTTGAACCATGGAGCTACCAATAGCTCCGTGGGTGAACACGGTGCTTCTACGTGGATAATCAGGAGTACATATCTGAGAGGTCAGCAATAGGTCAACGTCAGGACGTTACCGGCCTGTGCTCGATGCTCGCGAGAGTTCGGCTGTCTCGAGACAGTGCGAGATTTGATTCATCTCCAGCAGAAAATCCGAATCCTGATGCACACGTGATAAAGCTATGCCGAAAACGAGTGTATTTTCTTCACCAAAGCCATCTGGACCACCAAATTAGGCTACTGGCAGGGTCAGTTCTTGCAGTTGAGTCGCTAGCCAGCGGAAACGCTGGTCTATCCTTCTAACATCGACAGTAACTAAGGCTGTTCTCATTCGATTTGACCGCCCTCCCCCCTACGCACACACAACCCGATTGGCTTATATTTTCTTTTGGCGAACTACCCGATAAGAGCTCAATAGGAACGAATCCAAAGTTACAATGTAATCTATGATTGCCCATACATATACTGCCGAG